GGTTATGTATAAAAATATCCTACAGTTAGTTCCATGAGCTTCAACCATTCGTCTTTTAAAATATTTAAATTACTATTTTTCTTTTGTATTTGGGGGATTAAACCCATGGCCTTTGCATTGAGCAATATCCCTAGCCCTTTTAAAACTTTTTTTATTTTGAGATAGGACCTGGCTAAGTCCCTAAGTTGTTTAGAAAAGACTGAAACTTTCAATCTTCCTGCTTCAGCCTCCCAAAGTGCTTGGATGATAGGTGTGCACCACCTTGCTTGTCCTGGCTTTTTTTATACTGGGGATTGAACCTAGGGAATGTTGAGCTACAGCCTAGACCTTTTTAAATTTTGACACAGGGTCTAGCTAAGTTGTTCAGGTTGGACTTGAACTTGTTAGCCTCCTGTCGTAGCCCCTTGCGTAGCCGGAATTAGATGCAGACAACATGGTTCCAAGCTTCATCGACAAATTATTTTATACATTCGGGGACACATGCTGCCAGTTTGTTTGTTCAACAATAATAATGGAGCACCTACTGTTTGTCAGGCATCGTGCAAATCACAGTATTATAGTGATGAACATGAAAGAGCTCCAGTCCTTGAAGAACTGACACGTTTATCAGGGACAAAGACGTGCAGTAGTTCAACAAAATGATAAACGAATGATGTTGGGGTTAACATTGCCCCCCAAATTAGTCAGGCTTTGGAGTTTATCTTTTATCCTTCCCATTTTTTAAAGCTAATAAATCTGTGTTAAATATTCTCATCTCTAAAATATGAACTATATTACTGCTGTTCCATGGTAGTGTTGTGGAAATTCAAGTTAGCTTGGCATGTGATCGGTGCTTTAGAAATATCGCTGTGATGATGATGATGGCAGTGGTGGTAGTGGAGAAGATAAGAAAGAAATGCAATGATGAACTGGATCGCTATGTAAACTTCATCAGAAGTTGAGGCTGTGAGAAGACAGGGCCTGCATGATCTGAGGTTTTCCAAAGAAAACAGCATATGAAATGAGCTGTGAGTCTGGGTGATTTATGTCTTCTACAAGTTCTCATCAGTCAGCTTTTTAATGTTGCTGGTATTTAGAATATTCAAAGGCTAGATGTGGAAACTTGATTCAGAGATGATCTGACCTAATGGTCTTCAAACTGGGCTCAAGGAAGCCTTAGATTCTGCTTTTGGTGGGGGGCGGTATTGGGGATCAAACTCAGGACCTTGCACTTGCCAGGCAGGCACAATGCCACTTAAGCACATCCCTGGCCCAAGCCTTAGATTCTGACAACATGCCTCGGGGTATTTAAGAGAAAAGGAAAAATTTCCCTCTTTTCCTTTCATTCAGCACAGCTGTTTTTATCTTTTTAAATGTATTTTTGTTTCATGTTAACACTTTGATTTGTTTGTTTGAGAAACAAAAAATTTTTTATCTCATAAACAGACAAAACAGAACAAAACCAAACAAAAAAAACTTCATTTTATAGTTCAAGAAAACTGCTTTAGATCAGGCTATGGGTGCTCACCTATAATTCCAGCACTCTAGGAGGCTGAAGCAGGTTTGCAAGTTTAAGTCCAGTCTGAGAAATTTAGGGACTTAGTGAGATCCTGTCTCAAAAGAAAAAATAAGAAAAAGGCCCAAGATGTAGCTCAGTGCCAAGGTCCCATTTTCAAGAAAGCATGCAAGAAAGAAAGACAAAATTTTTGCATTTTTGAGCTGGCAGGCCTTGCTGGGGATGGACTGTCATGCTTTATTGCTTCAGTTAACAAGCATTGTAATCTTAAGACTGTACCCTGTGTTCAGACAAATGTTGATACTTCATTTAAAATTGGCCTAAAAATCACATACACCCAGTAAAACTATACACCATGGTGAGCAAGTCCAAGACAAGCTTCAACCTTTCAAAGAGGATAAAAGAGAGACTTAAGTATTCAACCATAACAAGCTGAGACTTTAGGAGAAAATGACACAGGGTATTGTCTCTCTAGCTTACTCCTGGGGTGTTGGCATCATCTGCCGTTTGGAGGCCTTTCTAATTATAGATGTGCTGTGTCACATTGCCTCCTGCACCTTATAACAGTAACAATGTTCAGCACTCAACATTATCAAAGACCTTTCCAGCTTGAGCTAATTAATTCATACAATTCCAACCACCTGGGACAGATAGTATTATTACCCCGGTTTTATGCACACAGAAAACTTCAAAAGACATTTCCCAAAGGCCATGTAGTAATTGGAATGGGGCCAGGAATTTATCTTAGAAGAACTAGATTTTTTAAGTGCATGACAGTCTTTCATGGACTAGTTAGATTTGGGGTAATTTAATTTTTTTCTCCAGGGTGGTGAACAGATATCCCTTTGTTACATACTAGCTCACCTTTTGGTTTCTGTTGTAGTTTCCAGAAGGAATCATTACACCTTTAGGAATTGATACACACGTCATAATTCTCTGCAATACCGGGTAATTTGGAAGCTCTTAAAGGTGGCTAGCATATGCCAGCTGTTCCATCCTTTTACTTGCCTCCTTTATTATATCCACAGTATCTCCTTTCAACTAGCTGATATTAGAATACAGAGCTCTTGAATTGTAAAATGAAACCTTAGAAAAGTCAACTCATTATAAAGCCTTCTTTGTTCTTTTGTGATGACCAACTAATTGAGATTCTTAGGAATCACATATACCTCAAAGAAGGTCCTTTATGAATAAAACCAGCCTTTTAATCACTAATTTTCAAAAAAGATTAAAAATAGCCCGTGATTACCCTGGTTGCAAAAAAAGTTGAATTTAAAACAAGAAGTAGCTCACTGGTGGAAAAATCACTATTCTCTTTTAACTTTTGTCCTAGTATAATGAAAGTTTTACATTCTTAGGCATTTACTCATGTTGAATGGGCAGGAAATTTCAT